AGTTCACTATGGCCGTTTCATGGATAATGGATGGTGGGAAGCTGCAAAGGAAAACAGGAAGAGCTGTTATGAATGTAAATGAGTAGTAAGGTAACTGAATGAGGCAATAAGTATAGTTTCTAAAGAACTTTCAAAGTATTAATCAAACAGTAATTATAAATAGGTCAATTGCTGCTCATCAAATATGGCCAGTAATGAAAATATATCTACTGGGCCGGGGATTTAGCTCAGTGGTTTCGCCACCTGCTGCGCAAGCACAAGGACCCAAGTTTGATCCCTGGTACCAAAAAAAGAAAAAAGAAAAGAAAAAAAAAATGTGGAGAGTACAGAAAATATATCTATTTACAAGGTAAAAACAGATGAAGTGCCTATCTGAATTTTAGCATGTTTGAGCAGATGCAGATGCAGAAAAATGTGGAGGTCAGTACCTGGTCCATAGTAAATCCTTAGCCAAATTTTATTCTCCTATCCTGCATGATTCTAAAAATTAGTTGATAGGTATGTAGTTTGAGAATTCAGCAAGGCTAAACCATATGGATTGGAGTAAAAAATTGAAATAGAAATTAGAGGCTTCATACCTAATAGTCTGATGTTATACAATGTTAACTGCATACCTCCTGGGTTTACAAAGCATATTATATGCACATCTCGCAAATACAAAATATGGTTTGGGATCTTGATACCTAATATTGATGGTCTTTTCATGCAAGATAAACACTTTTATAATGAGGGCATGAAATCCTAGCCTATTCAGCTGACCCCTTCCTTTTTTTTTTTTTTTTTTTTTTTTTTGGTACCGGGGATCAAACTCCGGTCCTTGAGCTTGCGAGGCAGGCAGCAGAACCACTGAGCTAAATCCCCGGCCCCAGCTGACCCTTTTCTGACCACTTTGTCATAATCCTATTTCCTTGGCTTTAGCTCTTTTCTGAAATACCAGCTCACTTTTTGTGTCCTAAAGTACTTGAATATTTTAGTATAATTCTCCCTTTTTGATGGACAGATTTGTTTTCTGTCATCTTCAGTAGAATTTCCAGAGACAGGCAGTTAGGCTAATGAGATTTATTGTTATTTCTCTTTTTGCAAAAGACCCTTTAGGTCATTATGGTGTCATTGAAAGCCACAGTGCTGGTCATAAAACTCATTTGTGTCTAAACTCCCTTGAGACACACAGGTCAGTGTGTATCTAGTAACTTTAGTTGCAGTTCATGTATCCTTGTCTATTTTCTTTGATTCTACTTATTTATTATTTGTATCATAGCTGACAAATTAAACTGGTTGTCTTGGTATCTAGAATATGAAGTATTCTAAAAATCCAGATGTTAGTTAGCTAAGAACTATTAAGGAAAAAGATTCACCCTTCATGTGAATAACAAGATACAATTATTTCTAAAATCTCCCTTTAAAAAGTTATTTCCATTATTGTGTGCAGTGAGTTCCAGGTAATGCTCAGAAAGTCTTTTTGAATAAGTATTTATATGCATAATTGCAATCTACAAGATAATACTCAATGGGCATCTGCCTTTTAATACTTCACCCAGTACACTGCAAAATAATTGATTAATTTTTCAATAATCAAATTTACTCTGAGGCTGTGTGAAAGAGTGTGGAGAGACAATACATTTATGCAGAATTTGCCAATACCTTATTTTCTTGCCTTAAATTTATCTCAGTCTTGTGGATCTCATATTCTGTTAAGTGTCACAATCACCTGGAGAAATTGGCAGACATACACATACCCAAACCACATCCTAATTTAAAAAGTTAGGTCTTCACCTAACTATAGCACCTCACATTGTTCTGATACACACCAAAGCTTGAGAATTACTGACTTAAACTTTAGGATGTGAATACCTCATAAAAGAAATATCCCATTGGTGTGAGCTTTGGAGCAACCAAAGGATATGGATACTTGACATAGTAATAGCAAAAAATTCCTGAAAACTTTTACAGCCTACTATGCATATGTGGAGGTGATTTGTAGTTCTCATCAATGACCACATGCCCAGTGAGGAGATTTAAGGGCCCTTGTGTAGTGAGTGTCTCATCCTTCCTTGGGAATAGGGAATGGAATAGGCCTTGCATGTGCCCCCACTTCTAGAGAGGATAAGAATCAAGAATCCTTTTAAAATAAATCCCTGTTGAGTTTTCCCATGACTCAACTAGGACTCTAGGTTTCCCAGAAGTGCCCCAACCAATAAACCTGCCAATTAAGCAACTGAATATCATTATTGTGAATGTAATTACAGACAGTAATTATAAGCTTGTAAATGCCTCCCATGAATGGAGCCCTTTTCCCAAACCATCTCAAGTGCTTTTCTTAGAAAAGTGGAAGGCAATCCTATCCCTTGCCTCACCCCAAACATAGCCTCCTTTGCTTAGAAGAAACCCCCTTTTCACTGGCCCAAGGGGCCTACTGAGCAATTTGTAATGGGCCATGCTTCAAGGCTGAATGTCCCCTTGGGGAGCTGCGCTTTTCAGCATCTTTCATCTAAGCACTGCTTCACCAGGCAGCAGTGACTACCCAGTTAGGCTGCACTTCTTAATTTCTGTTGAGGCTGGGGAATTAGTAGCAGTTGAAGAATTTCTGCAGAAAAATCAAATGTTGGAGGCCTTACAAAATAGTGTGGGAACTTTCACATTACTTAAGTTGAGCTTTACAAGGTCCAAATAGCTGAAGATTTAGACCAGGTCTCTAAACTAGGTACCGTAGAAACATGCATTAATGTGAAGGCTGCTCATATCTGTAGAAAGAAAATGAATCTCTTTAGGCTCAGAATTAACCCTTGGATTCAGTCACATTATATTTTGCTCATGAAAACCTTAAACCTTCATGGATAATAGGTATTTGAATAAGCTCTAGATAGATGTGTTTATCTTGAAATGCAATACATCTCTGAAGATCTCAATCTGTTCTTTCCTTTAAATGGATAGTGAGAATAAGAGTCTGTAATTGCAGCAGGAGCCAATGTGGTTGAAAAGTGGAAGAACTCGGTCCAAACATTTTTTATTCACCATGCAGTGAATAATGCCATATAAACCCTGAAAAGGAAGTACCCATCTTTATTTAACTTACCCAATACAATACCTCACACGGCCCTTTACTTTTCACAGATTTTCAGAGCTCTTGTCAGATAAGATCAAATGTTGCCCCCAAAGCTAGCACATGACATGTTTTTAAAGGAGGTATTCTCACTAGCTAAATTAAGCTACTTCTAGGCAAGCTTTTCCACTTAGTATGACAAATAAACCACATGCTGATTGCTGCTTTTTTATTGTTGGTTTCAGTGTTCTCCTAGAGTAGAAGTAGAATGTGCATGAACATCAGAAGTGTCTCAGAGTAACATAAGGACTCAGAAGTGTAAATGCAACTTCCAAAAGTGAGACCACTTTAAAGTTTGGGAGAAACTACCCTGGCAAAACTCAGCTAAAGACCCCTGGCAGCTTTAGAGAGGCTGTTTATGAAAATCTAAAGCATCTTAATCTCTTTATTAAATAATTTGAAATTCCTTTTAAATGTTGGAAAGGCAGTTTAAAATTCTCTGTGGTAAGTACAGGTCAGGACGGAGTTGACTCTATAAGTCACCCACATAGATGTGGATGTATATGATCTTTTGGTAATTTCAGCAGAAAGGAAAATTCACATATAAATTATATTCTTCTAATCACTATATATGACCACTTTAAGAGGAGTCTATTTTTTCTAATTTTGACAGTGGCCTAAGAATTTCTGAAAATATGGATGACCAGACTTCTTTTTTAAATGTATATAATATGTGTGTGTGTGTGTGTGTGTGTGTATATATATATATATATATATATGGAAACTACCTCAGGCACACTCACAGTGGTCCACCTCCTCCCACCAGGCTTCACTTCCCAGCCTCACACCCAGCTATAAA